ACTATCAGATTTTATTTTTTCAAGAAATTTTATTAGGACATTTTTTATTGTTTAAATGTGGCTTAGTCAACAAAGTTTATTTTCAAGTTACTTGGAAATAAAATAGTGCTAGGGATACCCAAGTGCTCATCTGCTGGCTTTCAGATTTGTTTTGTTTTTTGGGGGGTGTGTGTTATTGTTGTTAATACCCAGTCCCAATTTCAGGGTTTGGGTTTATTTGAAATTTATTCTGGAGGTTTAAGTAATATTTACCTCTTTTGCTGTCTCTTCTTAGTAAGTGAATCCTGGACACTTTCCTTGCCACAAGTGCTTAGTGGCAAAGAACATCTTGTCACCATCCAAGGCAGATCTTTTTGAGTGACATATTCTCCTGACTGGAGAGGAAAATCTGATCCATACCCCACAAATAGCAAAGTGGTGTGACTTATATTCCATCATTACTCCTGGATTCCCAGCTTGTGGGTTTTTGTTTCTCAGAGTTTTGACTTTTTCTCTCTTGACTCTTTGTACAGTCACATTTCAGTGGTAATGTTTGATGTCTCCAGCTTAAATCTAAAGGCATAGTCAAATCTATCATTGGTAAGAGGTATAAAACTCAGAGTAGTTGTGTCTGTGTGAGCAACAAACTTGGTGCCCTGTCTAAGCAAGTAGATAGTTGTAGGAGTTCCAATGAAAGGTGCTGGATGTCAGGGAAGTCAGCTGCTGAGGCCGTTAGGATTTAATGAAGTGATAACGATATGATGAATGAGTAGTGGAGGTCAGGGAGAGTCAGATAATTGGATTATTGAGATCTAATGAGATGATGCCTGTAATTGTCTTAAGTGTAGGGCTGTGCTCCTTGCAAGCTCTCAATAAATGGCATTTACTATGAGCACCAAGGTCAATGTGAAAGCTATAGCAAATCAGTACAAGTAGAATCAGTGGTCTCCTGCTTTTTGGCTTTATGCAACATCACTGTCCAAGAATCTAAATGGGCCCAGAGTCTGGGGCTAATAAAAAAGGATTTAATATGATGTGATGATGACGACGATGATGATGATTTTCATTCACATCAAAAGAGGCAGTTTGACTGACAATTACAATTTCAGATGATGAAATTTAATGATGGGTACATGCACCCAGTAGGGACAGACTAGTTAGTCTTCATCTTTATTAACAGAAGTTAAACAAGAGTCTTAGGTAGTATGGAAGAGTTCTGATTTCTGTCACTAGCTGTGTAATTTAACTTCTTGCAGCCTTATTTGGGTCCTTAAAGATAAAGTAGAATAATATTTCTTAAAATTGCCCAACAAGAATCACAGCAGCCCATCCCTGACCTATGGAATCAAAATCACCTTGGAAGAGGGCTAGGTATGTGCATTTTGAACAAACATCCCAAGTGATTCTTATGGTCAGGTAAGTTTGATAAACACTAGGCTACAACCATCTGTAACCCACACCCAGATTGCCCTTCTCTAAAAATTCAACAGTGTATGAGTTCCTACTAGTTAAGAAGCCACATTCTCTTGATCCTAATTTCAAGTTCTTAATAAATAGCATCTACTGAGTAAGAGCTATTATTAACTCTTGGAATGGGGTTCCACTGGATCTCTCTCTCTCTCACACATCTCTTTCTGGGTGTGTATGGGGTGTGAGTGTGGTATGAGATCATGATAGTAATAAGATATTTTGAAAATGGTTATCTGAAGTCACAACTCTTCAGGAGGGTTTAGGTATGGCTAAACCAAGCAGGAAGGATGAAAAGATGACCTCATTATCTCTTAGAAACCCATGATTTCATGAGGATGATACAGGTTTTGTGCATGACCTTCTCTGTTGACCTCCACTTGTTTGAAGTCAGTGAGTCATGAAAAACCAAAATTGCTATAGAAATGTCAACTTGGAAGACGTCTTTGTTTTAGTTAGAAGGTTTTTTGTGGAAATATGACTTAAGCTTTTGTGTTTCAAATGATGAGGTGGATTATCCTGGGAAAAGACTCAAGAAAACCCAAGGAAATGGAAGATTTATTCTCTATTAAACACTTGGAAAAAGGAAGCAGTCCCAGTCCATTACTCACAACCAAATGCCCAGTGATAGTGCTCATCCTCTGACAGCTCTTCTGGAAAGATTAATCGTTCCTGACTCCGACCTGTCCTTTCCACCCTGAGCTCTTCAGTCTGGGGTGTCTGTTTACCACGTTGGTTCTAATAGTCCACCACCTGGTTAATCATCTCTAGCCCATTTCTACTCCAATCCGTTCTGTTACTCTTGGGCCAGAATAGTCTTTCTGAAACACTGCTTTGCAAATAAGCAATTACCACTCTTAAGACCTCAATAGCATCCATTGTTGTTTGTAGGTAATGTTATAACATTAAAGATTCTCAGGGGGGTAGGACCTCACAAATCATGACAGTCAGCTCCTCAAACCCAAACATCCTTGTCTGGCATTCAAAGTCCTCTTATTTATTCCATGTATTAGTCAGAACGCTTGTTTACAGATGACAGAAACTTGGGTGAAAAGGGAAATTCAGTGATTCACAAAACTAAATACCAAGATGAAAAGATGTGGCTTGACCCAGAGGTTTGGCCATCGCCAGGATTCTTTGCTTGTCTCTTCTCCCCAGTTCTTCTGCCATAATTCTTTCTCTGTGACCTCTGGCAGATTTAGGTTCAACATCTTTCTATCTTTTCTTTAGATGAAAAAAAAAAATCCTCTTTAAGTAATTCTAAGTGTACAGATCCTAAGAAACATCTCTGATTGATGTCTCTGGGTTGGGGATGGGAAAGGGTACAAAGTCCGCAACCCGCATTAGAACCATGTGGTTAAGTTGAAAGTAGGGTGAGGAAGAGCAGTTTCATAAAAGAAAGAGCTGCTTACCAGACAAAAGTAAAGGGTTCTGAGTAGATAAAGCGATTTCTTTTATGTATTGAGACCCACAGTGTGTTAACAATCAATTTCTACAAGCTCATTTTATCCTACTTGTTGAATTTTTATACAAATTGCATGGATCTAACCAATGTTTCCCTGCCACTTTCTGTACATTTCTCCTACAAAATCTAGCAGAAGTTACTGCTTCTGCAACTGTGTGAGGTTTGGAGATGATGTTTGATGTGCCATGTTTATACATCTCAATCAGCACCAAGTACATAATATTGGGAATTAGTAATTACTCTTTCATGTGTATATCCTGTTTCTTCAACTAGATTATAACAATCTTCAGAACAGATGTATTTAAACTTCATTACAGAGAGAATTGCTGCTGGCTATTATTACCATTAAATCCCCATTTTATAATTTCCTACATTTGGAAAGAGAAATTTGGAAAACAACAGCAAGGAAGAGAAAGAATTAGAGTGTAGTTTTATTCAACACCAGCAATGATAATTCTCCTAATTGAACAGATAATAGCCACTGGGAACTTTAATCAAGGGGAGAGAATAGTAAAAGTTTATCCCTTGGATTGATTTTGGGCATTGGGTCGGGAAATAGCTGCAAAGAAACTAAGTATTTCGTCTAGGAGTTATTTCCAGGGCTTTAGGTCTCTGCCTTGATAAAGAAGGACTTGGAGTTCTTTCTTCTCAGAGCTCTCTCTCAAACACACTCGTCTCTATACCCACACTATGTACTTTCTGTTTGGCAAAGATAGTTTCAGAAATACTGAATTATAACAACCCAGGACTCTATGCTCCTGAGTGCAATGTTTTGCAGCTGTGTCTCTTGCTTAGAACTGGGTAGAAAGTGCATTTTCTTGATTACTCTAAATTTGTCACTCAAAAATATTTTTTTTCAATGAACTAACAAATGAGATTTTCCCTCCGGAGGCTCTGGGGAGGGAGGGAGCCTGCTCTTTGCCTTTCCTGGCTTCCATTTCTGCCTCTGTCTTCACATCACCTTATCTTACGTCTGTCAGCTCTGTGTGCCTTAGAAAGACATGTGTCATTGGGTTTAGGGCCCGCCTGGAGGACTGAAAGTGATCTCCTCATCTTAACATCCGCAATTATATTGACAAAGGCAACTTTTTCAAAGTAAGGTAACCTTCATAGGTTCTGGGAATCATGATATGAACATGTGTTTTCAGGAGGGAGCACTATTCAACTCAATCACTCTTCCAATTATTATTTTCTATCTCTTAAACTAAGTAGCATCATTTTCTATTATTTGCAACCAAAAGAACTTCCAGTTTGGTCTCTCCATGTTAAAAGCGGCAATCATCAGTGACTTGCACCATCTATATAACTAAGCCTGACTTCAGAAGTTCTTCAATTTTAGTGTATTGAGAATTACATTAGAACTTATTAAAAACGTAGCCTTCTGCCCTTACCCCCAGAGTTTTTCAACAAATTGGTCCAGGAATCTGGACTTTTAACAACTCCCAGATGTTCCTGGGAATAAAAAAATGGGGAACTTGTAAAAGCCCAAACCTGTTAATGTCACCTTCAAATAAAAGCAACAGGAAGAGCAATAAAAAATAATTTGAAAACTTTAATGATATTGTTTATATAGTAAAGCCATAAAATCTTTTAAATAAGGTACATTCAATTTTTCAGAGCAACTAATATCCAGATAACTTATATTTCATACCCTTTTCCAACATTAAACCATTAACTAAATGATGCATCTTCTGTAAGATGATATAACAGCTTATACAGATAAAGTTATTTTATTAAAACACTCCACACAGGAAAAATAACAACATCTACTAGAAAATGCTACAAACTTTCTATTAAAAAATATATTTTATCTCTCTCATTTGTCATAATAATAAACAGGATACGTTTTTTTTTCTTTCTAAAATTAAGAGTTACACCATTTCTCTTTAGGATGATAATATGTACAAATCTTAGATCGGAAGGAATATAAATAACAATACTGTAATAGTGTTACAGATATATTAGTAATTTTTACAGAGAAAAAATACGGCTTTCTAATAAAAGCCTCTAGCACAGCTGAAATATCAAAGCTATTTAAGTTAGACATTCTCATGTTTAGTAAGGAACAATGGAGTTTAGCTTTGTGTAGTTCCAGTTAATTACTCCATCCAACCAGTAACAAGGGGAAAAACACAGTCAGTAGAGATGGAATCAGATCTGACACTTAGATGAACTATTAGGGGTTTATTTAACTTTCGGGGAGATGCTGGTTCTTTCTGCACCTCGTAGTTTATTTTAGTGGCTTGTGGCAAAATCCGACATGAGTGAGGAGAAAGAAATCCTACCCCCCTAAGTGCCTGAGAAGCAGTTTACTCATCCGTGGGGTCTGGCCCCCCCGTGAGGAAGCAGCCCGGTGACCACTTCTGGTTATAAGCAGCTTATTTTTACTGATTGGACCTGGTTCCCTATCATTTCTAAGAATAGTTTCTGATACAGTTTGTACATGGTGAAGCTGTGAAGGAACCTGATGGTCTTCTTCAGACTCTGGGCCACCGTTTTGGGAAAGTGGTATGCCTTGGAGTGCTTGAGGGCGTGCATCAGGCCCTTCAGGGTGTCCTGGTCGCCGTTCTTTATTCTCCACAGGCTGAGCAGCTTCAGGACCTGGTCACTGGACTTGCATGCCTTCCTTGTCTCTGCGATGTCTTCCAAGCCCACTTTCTTCCCCGGTAAGCTTTCCATCAGGCTGCGGAGCTGCTCGAAGCTGAGGTTGGCGTGCCCGATGTGCCGCTGCACGCTGTTTTCACAGAGGTCGATATCTGCAGGAGGCAAAGCCCAAAAAGGCGTTCATGTTATTCACATTCATCTGATGCCATCAGAAAACTAGCCCGAGGCAAGATGGTCATACTTTTATTTTAAGCATAACTGTTTCTTTCTTCTTTCTTTTTTTGAAGGAAGGGGAATAAATGATACCAGTTATTTTTGAGAACCAAGATAAATACGGTTTTGTGTTTTATAATAAGATAATGTGCTATATAGACTTTGCATCCAGAAAAGCTTTGTGAGAAGCCCCTCCTCTTCAAAAATTAACTGCAGAAAATTCCAGACCCATCGCTCTCAGTTTTCTACGAAAAGTTTGAGAAATTGAAACTGTGACAGTTCAGGAAAACAAAAATAAAGTATTTAGGTTAGTTACTTTGTAATATAAACTTTCATTCGCTGATATGTGACTTGGGCACTATAGGTAAGTTAGTTAACTAGTCTTCAATAAATATATATAGCAGAGGGTTATTACCTACATAAAGAGGATAGCTGAAAACCAGAAACTGTGAGGCCAAGGAACTGGAGGATACACACAGACTAGATACGATTTCAGTAACGAGCTGGGGTATAAACCTAAGGGGGAGAAGCTAATGTTTCTAGTAATGACAGAAGTCATTTACTGTATTCGTGAGCCCTAAGGCAAATCGGTTCATCTTTCTGGGATGAAACATCTTCATTTATAAAATAGGGAATTGGTCCTTTCCCATTCTAACTGTCTCTGTTCTTAATATGTCCACCCGCCCTCTTTCCCTCTCCCTCTCTCCATTTGCTTCAGGGCTAATTATACTCTCAAAGAATATTTTTGGTTTGCTGAAAACAGAACGAAAGTTTACTCTCTGCATAAGCAAATGCATTCAACTGTCAAAGATAGTCTTTTTCCTGTGTTTCAGATAGTTGAGGTTTCTGGGTAGTATCGGACCACTCAGTCATTTAACTACCATTGAAGAACAGAAAGAATTTCTTGTTGACACTGTCTGCATTATGAAGACTCTGCCTCACCTGTTCTGGCATGTCCTCTCAATGCCAGTGGGAGGTCAGCATCCCTTCTGTCTTGTACGCTAAAGCGTATAGTCCTCACCAGATGAGGCTCACCTCTCTTTGGATTTTCCCTCAACACCCATGTGGGCGCACACACTCACACAGAGTCTCTCTCTTTCTCTCCCCACCATTTCTAACAGACATTCTTTGTAAAACTCTGAAGTGTAAGAGCACTCTGTTTTAAGTAGTTTTTCTTATAAGAAGCTCAAACACTTTTCAGACTTTATTTCACTAACCTTCACAACATATGCTATTAAAATGATAATTCCAGCCTAGGCTGTATTGTGAGGATTAATAAGAGGATATTTGTAAGACCCAGAGAGCCCCTCTGGAGAGAATTATCAAATAAATACAACATAGCTTCGTGGTGGAGATGCAGGGAGGCGCCAACGTGATTAAAGAACTTCTCGTTGGCAGTCCAACTGGGTAGCTAATAAAAGAGCTAAGGGATCTGGAAACACATCCCCTGAGATCTAGGGCTGCATTTGAGATGCATTTCTCTTTTATCAGAGTGTTCAAGAAATTCGGTGGACAGATGAGAACAAAACCTTGCTTGATTGCTTTAAGAACAGCATTTACACTATCAATTGGTGAAAACTTGTTCAGTCCAACAGTGATTCCAGAAGAGAAACATCATGCACACGACTAAAAGAGGCACTAATCTCGTTTCCGTTTTATGATCAACATGTCTTTGATTTCCGATTGACTTCTTTATTTCAGATCGCCATACCTTGGATGATCTTTTTGACCATGTCTTGGTCTTTGTTTTGATGTTTCCATAACTTCAGCAGCTGGAAAGTTTGCTCCTGCGAGCTGTGTCGCCGTTTTATCCTCTCTATACTCTCTGGGTTTACTTTGGTGCCAGGCAGATTGTCCACTAAGACACTTAGCCAATTGGGGGTAAACTTTGTAGGGACAGCAAACCTGAAGAATGCCTCCTCACACAGGGTGACATCTGCGGGAAGGCGAGAAAACCAAGATTTATTCAGCAATTCGACTGTTGAAAGTCTACTGAACTTCTAGTCTACTGAACTAATAAAGCCTCCCTAGCAAAGTATCTGGCACACAGTGAGTCTCAATGAAGGACAAAAATAAAATTTAAAATGAACTCAAGAGAATGTTCAAGTTAGAAGTCACTCCTTTTCCCTCTTTCATTTTTCAGATAAGAAAGGAGGAAGGGTAAATGCCGTGTCTACGATTACGATTACACGGTGAAAACATGCTGGGCCTGAGTTGGAATCACACGTGTACATTTCAACTCACACTCCCATGTTTTGTACATTTCTATGTAGTACAAAAAGATGTTTGGAGAGAAACACACTGGTTTTCATCTCATAGCTTGATCCAACACAAAAACACAGCTTATCTTTGGTGTGATGGGTGCTTGAATAAAGCTCTGAGATTAGTCTGGTGTTAAGGGTGACAAGATGAGAACACACACTAGCCTGATGGATGGTGTCACTAACAGCCTGCATTCAGAGGTAACATGAGCTTGATGGTAGTGACCCTTACCCAGGAATGAATTTAAGGCAACCAGAAGAGTTTGGATCTTCTCTAGGATAGATCGGTGGTTCTCAACCTTCCTAATGCCTCCTAGTGCCGCAACTCTTTAACATAGTTCCTCAGGCTGTGGTGACGCCCAACCATAAAATTACTTTTGTTGAAGTATCATAACTGTAATTTTGCTCCTGTTATGGATCGTAATGTAAATATCTGATATGCAGGATGTATTTTCATTGTTACAAAGGGGTCACGACCCACAGGTTGAGAACTGCTGTGATAGATGTATTAATGGATGGAGGTATTATACCAAAGCAACAAAGCCAAGTAACCGTTCTTTTTTAATTTACTACTTGTTTGTGCCATTTCCCTTCTTAGTTGACATTTTCTACCTTTGGTAGTAATACAGACATTCTTGAAAGGAATTAAGAAAAAACTTAAACTCGACAATTTGGACTCTGCTGGTTTGGTCTCCACAGCAGACTTGCTACTTCCCTTTATCCATGGGTAATTAAGATTTGATTTGAGTGTGAAGCAGGAGGAGAAACTCAGGCTTTGTGGTTTATCTGCGTGATGGCTTTTTGAGAGATTTGGAGTTGTGGCTTAATAATGAAGCACAGAGGACAGTCTTAGCTGGTTAAGATTCAAGAAAGAGAAAATGTGAGTTTAACCAAAATGTGGTCAGAGGCCCCTGGGTTCAACTCAGAGAGAGATGACTCTACAGCACGGTACAGAGGTCGATATTGTGGAACGTAATTACCTATTCCACATTTCGGAGTTGATTCATTGTTTCCAGAACATATATTGTCATGTGTTGCATTTCCTTTCTGAGTTAGCAGGAGACCAGGCACGCTGCAATTTGTGTGTTTTCTACAGGGTGCTTTAGACGACGTCTCATTGGAGAAGAAGCCATCTGGACATCTTTTGCAAACTGTATTTCGCTCCGGGGTTCCTAGAGAAAATACCAAGCAATTTAGTACCTTCCTCTCAAATATATTCCCGGCAGATATCCTCTTAACACAGTTTGGGAAAGACTTTTTCACTCGGTTTTTACTGCCGCTATTATGTTGCATAAAACTGTAGGCATTCTACTCTTCACTTCATTAGAGACAACAAAACTTCAGCATTATCTACTTCCACAGTCTCCTCTCCTGTAATACAAATGCAAGTTTGTTTTGTTGTTACCTACGAATGCTCCTGAAATGTGAGAGCAGAGAAAATAGCAGTAGGATGTTCCCGAGCCCTGCCTCTGCTGAAGTGGCAGTCAGGCCTTGCTGTTAGCCATATTCTTCACACAGTTATTCCTAGGAAATCATCAAGATAACTGCTGTGTGTCTGCTGTAATATCATTCTCGAAATTAGTACCCATTGAACACTGCATCGTTAAATTCCAATCCGTTCCTACTGAAGTTCTTTCTTTCCTGAATCCTAATTGTGAAGCGACTCCTAAGTATGCTAACCTTGAGAAGTAAAAATTTACAACATTATAATAAACTTTTGAAGGTGGTAATAAAGTTGGCCGCCAACTCAAAAACGTAAGTCTGCAGTTAAGCTACATAGTAAACGGAGGAAAATGATATACCGTTTGCTTAAACTGTTTAAAAGAGCACGGTCGTTAAAACTTCAGGAAGGGTGATGGCAAGGGCATTCTCTTTTATGGTGGAAAGATATTTGATAAGTTTGGAGAAATCATTGGCCGGGAAATTTGAACCAGTCAACAGCTAAAGATGCTTTTAAAAATAAATATCTTCAAAAACTATTATGCATGGATAGATCACATATGACAGTGTATCTGGATATGAAAATATCTCCATCTAGTGTAAGCTGGTTGAACAGATGTAGATTTCAATGTATAAATGTAGGTTTTACAGGCCAATTCTGGTGTATGCAAGAGAACTAACACAAGATCGGCATACGAAAGTCACAGAGTTATTAAACTCCACTTATTAAAAATTCCAACCTATCTCATTGTGTTTTACCAAAACTAGGAAAAGCAGAGTAAAATGAATTGGTTCTAGTTTCATCTCCTGTCTCTTTCCTTTCTAGAGGGATAAATGATTCATTGACTTATAAAAAGAACAAAGAGCTGGCAGAAAAAAAGGGGAAGAAAGGAGCGCACAGCCTGAAACCTTCACGTATTAAATGTTATTTCCCAGTCTTGCAATGACACTATCTTAGCAACCACTACGCAAAGCAGAGAGGTGCTGTTTGTTTGTTTGTTTGTTTGTTTTTTTTGAGACAGAACCTCAAGCTGTCCCCCTGGGTAGAGTGTCGTGGCATCACAGCTCACAGCAACCTCCAACTCCTGGGCTCAAGCGAGTCTCCTGCCTCCACCTCCCAAGTAGCTGGGACCACAGGCGCCCACCACAACGCCCGGCTGTTTTTTGGTTGCAGCTGTCATTGTTGTTTGGCAGGTCCGGCCTGGGGATTCGAACCCGCCACCTTAGGTGTACGTGGCTGGCGCCTTAGCCGGTTGAGCTATAGGCGCCGAGCCCTGTTTGTTTGTTTTTAATGCTTTCTTATTACATCCCACTCCTTCAAGAGGATCGAACTCTACAAATTTTACAATAGCATAAGCAGAGGTAGATGAACAAAGATTCCCTGGCTTTCTGTCATTGCTAATTTACTGAAAATAGGTGACTTGGACATCTGGACCCACATCTCCTTTTGCCAACTGCCATATGTTCTATGCAAAGAAGAATCTTGTCATTCTTCCGATACCTATTTGTGTCCTGGGTCTTCTCGTGCGTCCTAACAAGCAGGTCACATGTACAACATATTCTTTTCTGTAAGCTAGACTTTAAAGTTGTTTAACAAAAGGAATCCCAGGAGGATACAGCCAGTGCTTCATGCTACAGTCAGAGGCTTTATCGAATGACCTTTCTGAGTAGGAGTTCCCTCTTTGTAACTGACAGGACTTTTTATTGAAAGAAAGATTTATCCATCGAAGGGATAATTTTATCTTATTAATATCAGTGACATTATAAAAATTATAACCTGGCATGCAGAATGTGAAATAGAATAGCAATAGAGAAATATGGCTTCATGGTTGAGAATTCACTCTGCAGGCCACAAGTAATTGCCTAAGAATTACAGGACTGAGGAAAGAAAATATGGAGGAGAGATAATTGGACTTTGAAACAGCAACAGCGACAACAAAAGGTTATTAAATGCTTTTTAGAGGAACACCACGCAGTCTTTCCTTCTCTCAGGGCTGGAGACTTCTTATTATCCAAGAGGAAACACTGGGTGAGTTTTTAGGGAGGGGGAGGTAAATAAACCCCACTGTGGGGCCACGGAATAAAATGTGTCCTGTGTTCTAAGTCTTCTGGCTGCCCGCTGACTTCATTCAACAAATAGACTTTCATGCTTATTTAAGGAAGATCCTTGTTATTCCCATTATTTTCCAAAATTTTCTTGTTTCCAAGCAGCAGAGTCCACACTTAGTTTTTCTACACATACAGCTGGCTGAATGGACTGAGTTGCGTGTGTTTTTGTTGGATGGGCCTTCCTCCTCTGACTTAGTTTAGCTTTTGAGACCCAAAGTGTCATCCAATAAAAAGTAGGAAGTAGCACCAATCCCTCCCTCAAATACTCATAGCAGAGGCATCTGAAGAGACTCTCACGCAATCTGCTTCTTCAGTCATTAATTTTATGATTCACTACTTCTGGAACTAAATCAATCTCCATCTTTGACTATGTATTCCTTTAAACTGAAAGTATTTGTCATCGAATAACTCAGACTTTGTATATTACAAACTTTGATGATTTAAATAATTATAAATAAATAGCATCAGTGAGCCCTCAGTTCTCAACTGGGGGTGATTTTGCCAATCTGGAGGATATTAGGCAATGTCTGCAGACACTTCTGGTTGTCACGTTTGGCAGGAGGGTGAGGGAAGGAACTGCTATGGGCATCTAGTTACTAGAGTCCCGGGGTGCTGCTAAAAGCTGTAGTATGCACAGGGCAGCTGCCCATAGAAAGGAACTTTGCACCCCCCAATGTCAGTAGCACCCACGCTGAGATTCACTGCTAAAAACTCTCATCAATTGTTACTTCCTAACAATTGTGAATACTATCCTATCAAAGTTTGAAGCAGTGAATTGTTGCTTCTTAACAATTGATAGTTAAGATTTTTTTTCCAAGCCACAAGATGTTGTGGAATACTCTGAAATTTCATGAATGTGGTAGTACCAAAAAAAAAAAAAAATCTGTGGGTAGCAGCTTTAAAATATTCAGTGCACGCAAGCCCTAACCTATGCTGTTCAAAATGCAAAAAGAGAAAGCACTTTGTTTTTAGACAAGTGCTTACTCTTGGCTCGACAATCTGTTTTGTTTAAGATAAAGAATAAACTCATTGAAGAGATGCCGCTATAGGCTTTATCCTCCCAGACACGCGGCGCCCATGCTAAAGGGAAAACCAGCTTCATTTTTAATAATGAAACGCATTTCCCCCAACCATTCTCATTTCTTACATAATTAATTATAACTGCTCATTGTTAGCACTCCAGAGCCTCATTAATATTAGCATAATTACTCTCTTGGTATCGATTAACATTTCTGCTGTTTGTCAGGATGCACTGCAGGTTGAAGCTGTCCGCGCCGCAGTGAAACACACAGGGATATATCAAGCATCAACAGTGCAACGCAGTGTTCCTTCAGAACAGAACAATCCATCATGCATCTCATTAGAGAGCGATTTGCTGCATTTGAGATTTGTCACTAAATGGCCCTGTAGTGGCAAAGTATTCCTCCGGGAAATGGTCCTTTGGAAGCAATCCAGAAACCCAGCACCTGCCTCGCAGGTCCCATTACCTTTGCAATTTGCTAGCCTGTAATGTATGTCATCAGCACAAAAGCATTCCCCTGAACTTTTACTACTATCTGACTGGGCAGAGGCCTCAAGGATTCCATTGCACGTTGAAGCTGATACATACCAGCCTGTGCTACTCCAAATCCCGGCGGACAGCTCCTGTGCTTCAAGCAGAACTCCAGCTCCAGGTAGCGGCCTTCCTTGCACTCGCACACGCGGTTGTGGGTGCGGTTGCACTCCTGCTTGACGTACTGCAGCTCCTTGCAGACCGGGCTGCAGTACAGACACTCGTCACTGGTGTGCCAGCTGTCCGTGTAGTAGTGGTTGGGGCAAGGGGCACACACGGTCTTCCACCTCGCTGTGCAGTGCTGTTTCAGGTAGGTGCCTGGAGGACATTTGTCACACATCAGCTGGCGAGAGGTTTCTGGGTCATAATGAAGGTACTTTGGAGGAAAGGTTTCCTGGGTGGTCCACTTAATGGAGATATCCAGGAACTAGAAGGAAAAAGGAAAATAGTGGCATCATAGTGTGAAAGTAGGGTTGTTCCTGTGTGTGAAGGCATCGTGGGATTCAAAAAGTCCCTGACTACCGCAAGCCTAACATCATTCTCACCTGCTGATTGAGATGCACTATAAAGAAGTTGGGAAGCCATGATTTTTGCCTCCAGCAGCTTAATCTCAAAGACCAAGAATGCAGGAAACATATCAAATAAATCCAGGCTCCAAGATGACTGGGAGAGAAAGCACATCAGAAGGATGCTTAGCTGCACCACTGAATAACCACGTGACTTCAAAGACACTTCGTCTTTCTGGGTTTCAGGATTATCTCTAGGTTAGTGAGCTGTATGGAACTAGTGGTTCTCAGAACACCAAAATCCCCTGGACTTCTTATTTAAAAAGTACATTCCTGGGGACTGCGCCTATGGCTCAAGGAGTAGGGTGCTGGCCCCATATAACTGGGGTGGTGGGTTCAAGCCTGGCCCCGGCCAAAAGCTGCAAAAAAAAAAAAAAAAAAAAATTCCTGGGCTTTGCATCCTTAAGGGTTATTTCACTGATGTGAAGTTGAACCTGCAGACTTAAAAAAACTCTTGCAGTGATTCTGATGTGTGGGGTACATAGTAAATAATTTTGCATTCATTTGACAAATATTTATTGAGCCCTTTCTATGTTCAGGCTCTGACCTGAGCACTTGGAATACAGCCCACAATAAAACAGGGAAGAAACGCTGTCCTAGTGGGGTTTCCACTACAACTGAAGGAGAAAAAAAATACATTGCCATACAAATATGTTAGAACATAAGCATTGCTTTAGAAAATGAGCAGTAAAGGAGATCGGAAACATGGAGGGGAAGGTGGTGAGACCACAATTTCTAAATGGGGTGGTCTATATGGTAGCCATGTTTGGGATTACCAAATTTTCCATTTCTAAGACTTAATGAATCCAAATAGTGAAGTACAGAGCTGGTGATATGTGAAGGCATGTGATTGGGACAGCAGTCATTCCTATCATTCATTCGCTCATTCATGGAACAGATAAGTGCAGAATGCCTAGTAGGTGTCAAGCACCAGAATAGGCTGTTGAGATGGACATGACCTCTGTTCCCATAGTTTGCAATCCCCTGAAAATATTTCTAGAATTTTAACTGTGACATTTGCTCCGAAGATCAGATGCACCAGTAGTCCTGACTTTCAATAGGTAAATTGTGTCTAAACAATTAAATTAATCTAAATTAATTAATTAAATGACGGCCTTTCTTCAGGTTAATTGGGATAGATTTCAGGGAGCATACCAGGTTTCAGAAGTTTCCTTACAAGAGGTCTGGGCAGGAAGAGAAAGAGGATTTCATGGGCAAGGATGCTGCATGGGAGGACAGTTCCAACCGGGTATCTTGTCTTGTAGGGTAGATCCCAAGGCCTTCCAGGGAACACTGAAGTAGTCCTTCATACTAATTACAGGACTCACACTCTCAGAAGCAGCAGTGTTATTTGTGTGTAGAGGGTGGTTGGTTTGGCTTCTGCTGTTTGTTCTTGGTGCAGGGATCAACACTGACTATTTTCAGGCTTTGGGGAGGTGGTAAACCAAACATCATAATTTTTCCACACTCTCTTCTTTGCAGAACCCAGGAAATCTCACAGGAACCCCCTGACCTGGAGAGCATGCCAAACTAGGGACACAGCACACTCTTTTGAATTAGGGGTGGCAAGATAAAGAATGGCCTTTTTCATAAGTATTTGAGCATTTTAACCGGAGTAACTTCATTTATTTCTTGCTTGAACATGACAAGCATCTAGGGTGACTGGACCTAATATGAGTTGGTAAATCAAAAGAAAAGAACAAAACTCTCACCCAGGGTTATAGACCTCTTCTCAGAGACAATTTTCAAAGAGAAATGGTGCTATGATGTAAAAATAAGCAGAATGCAGCACAGAGTCCCCGCTGCTTTGGGGGCCTTTCCAGGAAACCCTCTTGACCTGAGGGTTTCTAATGAAAGCATGTGTTTGCATTTCCCTGGGGAGGGGGGTTATTGGTTTAGATGGAGAGTGGGTCAACATCAGGTGAAAGAAATGGACCAGGAGTGGGTGGAAATTCTGGTTTGGTCTGAATCTTTCAGAAATAGATGGAACCTATTTACTCATTCAATACACATTCACTGAACATCCACTGTGCAGCCTTTGTAGAAGGAACTTAGCAAGTGATGGACATAAAAAAATAAATGGTTCTTCCCTTCAGGAAGCTCACAGTGTAGTGAGGATATAGACAGTAAAGAGTAAGATATAATTACTCATAATGATCAATGTAATCAATGTAAAGAAATAAGATGAAATGAATGACTATGTTGCTCAGCGGTCATATGAATATATTAGGGGATGTCTTTCAAGGCTGCTTATATGCATTTGGCTCAAATATTTCTAACCTCAATATTATGAAGGGTGGTTTTCCTGATTCAACTTGCAAAGACATGTGAAAACAATGAGAAATCATTTTTTCACTTGCTGTTCACTTTCAATTTCTTGCAAAGTCACTTTGAGGGTTTTGTTTGCTTTCAAGAAGCCTGGTTCTAGAGAGACTGCTTTTTCTTGAGTGGCACTGCTAAGTGAGCCATATCCCGGTCAGTAGGAATCCAGAGGTTTTTCCTCGCCAAACTTCCCATCGCTCTCCCTTCCCCTTTTCAGTGTGGTTCAGTTGTGCCCATTTGTTGATCAGTGCTGACTCTTTTTTCCCTTACCAAAAAGTGAAGAGGATGAGATGGGAAAACTCAATGGACAGAGCTCATATTCCTCAACAGAAAGCGCCATGTAATACAGATATGACCAAGGATGATGATGCAATTTATATTTTTCTAGGCAATGGGAAATAATACTGTTCATTTCCCAAACCCATGCTTTGGAAATTTGTTGCCTTTTCTTAGAGATACAGGCAAGTTGTGGTCAAAGGAATCCACAAAGAAAAATAAGGTCAATATGAGGGTTAGAGAGTATATTAGTGAAGGTAATTTCCTGTAGGCTACCACATGGACTAATCATATAAGTTTTTTAAAAATCAGAAAGCCTTCAGGAGCTATAAACTTGTTTTCAGCAACTTCAATTTGGCCTCTGAGTTTTATTTGAAAATTTTCCACTTTGGTAAAAAGACAGAACTCTGTGTGGCCAACATTGGATGCTTAGGTCTCAATCTTTGGTTAGCCCCAGTTCCCACACAGAATTTCTGGAATCAGTTACTGGACAGAGGATGGGCAAGATTAATAGAGCTCTTCATCTAAGGCTTTTCTCTTACTTCTACATTTCCTGGAAAAGCAATAAAAAATAGAAGCCATACGACTGATCATCTTAACATTGGCTATAGCTCCTTTGCCAGATGATAATATTTAAAACCTAATTACAGCTAAAAAAATAAATTCCTCTGTTAAATGCACTTTCCAAATAACCACAGATAAACATTTGCAAAAGCTGAGACACACACAGAGGAGTGTCCACAGAAACCTGAAGTGCTGTCTGTAGAACAGGCCACTCTGTTTTTGGTGTTTAATACTTGGTCTTTTTCTTTAAAGAGAAGTAAATAGATTTTTTCCTTTATTTTTTCTTTCATCCTCCTTCCATTCCCTGTCTATCCTTCACTTGGTGTGGACCACTTGTGCTTGAAGAGAGTCTGAAAGCTCTCTAGTGTCCCACTTCCCACCAGTCCAGGATTTCTTCCCAAGGACCCTAGGCCTCTTTTTGTGAAAAGACAATGAAGGTTGCATTTCAAATAGCTTTGCCCCTCTCCCTGCCATCCATTTTTAATGTTGGGCAGCGTTAAACAATTTTCTATTTCAAGCCCTACCATCTTTCCTCATCTATCACATGCTACCAGATAATGGTAGTAGGTGGGTTGATTTAGTTCTTGAAGGCCTTTTCTATCTCTATCATTGTATTAGTTTTTAGTTGGACAGTTTAATTATACAATGAACTTGGAAACAAATGTCTTGTCTTAATCCCATTCATACTTCTATTCCCTTTTTACAGCAGAATACTTTTTTATCAATCTCTCCTTTTCAGACTCATCCATTCCCTTATTAAAAACCACCAGATGCCCCCGACCTTGTAAGTTATGCCCTCACTCCAGCAAGCCATCTCAAGTTAGACCCTATCAGTGGAGCTCTATGCCTCACAGAAGTCAGTTGTATGTTTGTTATTTATGTTTAGTGTGCTTTTAACTATAATTAGGTTATTTAATTAAATGTTTTGTAAACCAACAAACATGGATGTGAAAAGAAAAAATTATTTTTCTAGAAGAAGAAAATTGAATATTGTGGGATGACTTGGTAAAAAGGAAAACGAAACAAAACAGCAGAAGAAACAACTCACTGCAGAATTTTAAATAGGTGAGACAATTCTGAAAACAAAAGGAGGGGCTGGCTTGGTGGCTCACTCCTGTAATCCTCGCACTCTGGAAGAACAAGGCAGGTGGAATGCTTGAGCTCAGGGGTTGGAGGCCAGCCTGGGCAAGAGTGAGACCCTGTCTCTACTGAAATTAGTTTCATAAGTATCTATAAGTTCCAAAACTTAAATATGGATGGGCATATTTACAGATAAGGGCTTTATAAGACAAATAGCATGAGACTCTAGTTAGCAAACACAGACTCCAAGAAAAACCTTGGTCAGGGCTGGGCAAGGTGGCTCAAGCCTGTAATCCTAGCACTCTGGAAGGCTAAGGTGGGTGGTTTGTTTGAGCACAGGAGTTTGGACCAGCCTGAGAAAGAGGGAGCCCCTGTCTCTAAAAATAGCCAAGTGCTGTGGCAGGCACCTGTAGTCTGAACTACTTGGGGAGCTAAGGTGAGAGGATGACTTGAGCCCAAGAGTTTAAGATTGCTGTGAGCTATGAAACACAGCACTGTACCGAGGGCAACAAAGTAAGAATCTGTCTCAAAAAAAAAAAAAAAAAAAAAAAAAAAAAAAAGAAAAGGCAGGGTCAGATCTTAAAATACAGCTAAATAAATATTTGTTAATTTTTTTATT